CCCCGCTCCCCTCCGCGAGCCCCTCGCCGGGCACTCGGGGCCCCGAGGACGTTGGGCCCGCTGGCCGAGCGCCGTGACTCCCGCTCCGGCCGTCGGGAAGGCCCGGGCCGGGCGCGGACTTGACCGTGGGCGCGGGCCGGGGGCTTTATGTAAATGGCCGGCCCAGCCCCCGGCGGCCCGCACGTCCAATAAGCGCAGGCCGGCGGACACCTGCCTATAAACGGGGCGCCCGGCGCGCCGCGCAGCCCGCAGAGCCCACGCGCGGGCGCGCGAGCCAGACCGCCATGACTTCCAGCGAGATCGCCATGCCGGGCGCGGTGAAGGCCGACCCCGCCGCGCTCATGGCGTCCCTGCAGCTCCTGCCGTCGCCCACGCCCAACCTGGAAATCAAGCACACCAAGGTGAGCGGCGCCCGCGCCCCTCCACGCGCACTTCCAGAACCTTCTCTCCTCCCTGCGGGCCTTCTGGGTCCGGGGCGCCCTGCCTGCGGGTGGGGGCCTTTACAGTCCTGCCGGGGTCTCGGCGCGCCTCGGGGGTCGCCCCGAGCTGGAGCGCAGCGCCGAGGGGCGCCGTCCACGGCTCCCTCCGTGAGCCGCCGCTGCCGCCGGCTTCGGGGTCGTGTCTGCGGGTCGCCACCGCGGCGGAGGCGGCGTCGGAACCGCTTCGACCCTTCAGATGGACAAGAGGGGGTCCCCCGCTGGCCTCGCAGCCCCGGCGTCTGGGCTCGGGCCGCGGGTCAGGCGTCTCCGGCGGGCCGGCAGCTGGTCCGGACGCGCGGGGCTCGGGCTGCTTCTGCGGATTTCCTGCAAACCTGGCTCGTAATTGCGGCACATCCAGTGGCAGCGTTTCACTTGCGTTTTGTACGCAGTGGCAGCGTCCCTGGAAAACTTGAAACGTCTTTAAATTCGTGCAAATTAACGGGTTTGCTTTTGGATTAAAAAAAAAAAGTTTTTGTAACGAATTCTGACACCTTGAGTTTGCAACCAAGATTTCTTTCTGGTATACCACATAAAAATGGGTATAGGTTTGCTAACTAGTATAGATTGAATTGTCTTTCTGCTTATTCGACATAGAAGAAAAGTATTCGTTACACACATGGGGGGTTTGCAACGTTACAGGATTTGGGGGCGTGGGTAGATGGGATTTAAAGCTGCGTTTCTTGGAGTTCATTTTACAGTTCTCTTACTTGATTTTCTATTCATTTTGATCGATTTCTGCCTCAAATTTCTCCCAAAGAACTTAAACACATCGTGCTCACATAACATGGTTAAAGTTGTTTTCCAGCGCGCTTATTACAAGACAAACGAAATTCCGTAGAGAAGTAAATTGTTTACAGGAGAAAAATCAGAATATTGAAGCTTTACTTTCATTGAGTTTTAGGATACAAATCAGGGTGATTCATATATTGAGCGTCGATTTAGATGGATTAGGTGTACCTGTTAGCTTTTTTAGATGGTGTGACAAATTTTTGAAAGCCGTTTTAATGAGAGGTCGTTAATGGTTACAGTCATTTAACTGTTGTTTGCATAACAATAGTGCCGATGTGTGGCAAATCTCTCAGGGTTCAGGAACACGGAGAAAGCTTGCAAGCCCAAAGTTCTGTTTCATGAAGGTCCCTAACCTCTCTAGCCTCTCTTTAAAGGTTTCAAGATGCAAGATGTTGTGTGTGAGACAGGACCTCACTCTCAGGTTCTGGGTGTTTGGGGAGAGTTTGCTTTTAGCCTCACTTGTGATGGGATTTTCCTAACAGCCTCTGAAAGAAGCTTTAGGTATGCAGTAGGTATCTTTTCTGGAGTTTAATTGGAAAGCTCCTCCGATCTCTTTTTCTCTGACTACCTTCTCTTTTCTCTCTTCTTCTCCCCCAGTAGGAAAGACAATTGATTTATAGTTGATTGGAGCCATTAATGTGGAGTGTTTTAGCTCCGGGAAGACTTTTATCCAGGATCCACTTTCCCACTTACTACGAAGAAAAACAGTCAGAAATGAAATAATGGATTGTAATTTGATGCTTTAATTTGTGGGGAGGAGGTGCCTTATATTTGACTTGACAAACAACCCCCGTAAACCCTGAAGAACACTGATCTGAAGATGAGTCCTTGCCACAAAACCTTGTAAAATCAAGTATCTGTGAACGTTCCCGGCAGCTTTCTCCCTCTGCTCTTTAGTGAGACTTCCGCATTTTCTGAGACAAGCAGTTTTTTAACTTGAGCAGAAGCAGCTCTTTTGATAGCTGTGCGTAACGGGTAATGGTTTTTTGCTTAAAAGGGAAATAAGATTAATGGAGAGCTTTTTAAAATTCACGTATGATTAGAAGTGAGGGAAATTGTATTAGCCGTTTCAAACAGAAGCATGAACAAGGTAGAATGGACAGCTAATCCTCTACAACAGTAATGCCGTCGTCATTAGGAGTTTTTAAAAGGGCAATGGCTAGAGAAGTATTCTGCTTTAGGGCGTGTTAAATAACACATGAAACAAACGGTATTTGTGTCAGAAAATGGAACTATAAGATAAACATAGATAGATCTTTAATGAATCATTTTTTTCCAGCTTAATATATTTTTAGTGAGGAATACCACGATACGGTGTTCCTGTATGGTTTTTCAATATGATGTTAGGACTATCATAAAATCAGTACTTACAAATAAATGATCAGATTATGCGAATTTCAAGCAGCGAGTGTTTAGAATACTATGCACTTGGAATCTTGTATTTTTCTGTATTTTTTCCACCATCTTCCTTCATTTTCTGGAAGAGTTTTATGGTTTTTTTTGGTGTGGTGGTTAAAAGGAGACCAGGGAGGTCACCAGAAATACAAGTTCCTCCGTTTGCCTGCCGGAGGTCCAGGGAAGAGGCTCCAGAATTAAAATTCAGTCCTCAAGTATGCCGAAAGGGCCACACTTGTGGTTTTGTGTTGACTTTCAGACAGTTACATTCACTCTTTCAAGTAAGCTTATCTCTCTGAAGTTCCAGTACCACCTTTGAGATGTGTCTGTTGTATTCTTCAATATTTTATTTCCTTAATGCAGCAAGCTAGACCCCAAGTCTTGAAACTGATTCCTTGTTAAGGATTATGCAAAAAGCTGTGTTCGTCCAGAACAGGCGGCAGTAACTCGCCCGCAGTGAGCAGCGAAGGGACTGATCGGGGGCCGAGAGAATGTGTGCTCCTTGCTCATATCCTGAGCCGGCTGCTCAATGGCTAGCGTCGGATTCTGGCTGCTTGTAACTCTGCCTTTATTAAGGAAGGTTTTTTTTGCATTTGTGTCTGATTTATCAGTCTGGTTTTTAGAATTTCTACCTGGCTGAACATACAGTGGGGATACGCATACACATTGTAACATCAAGGCTCGGCACTTCAGGATCACCCTTGTGGATTCCCAGGTCTTTGGAAACTTGCCGTCTTGATCTCGTCTCTGCTTTCTCCATTGCCGTGAGCTCTGCTGGCTCTGCTGGTTCCCCCACCCCCCACATACGCATTTTGAGGTCTCTCTAGTGATCTTTTTTTCCAGTGAGGGTTTATACCCATAACCGAGAGTAATGTAAAGAGTTACGTTTTCATCTGGCATCCGATACTGTGGGGAACTAGAGCATTTATTGAGCACTGACCTAAACTCGAAGGCAGCAAATAAAAGGCAACCAACTGAAAAAATCCGAACTAAAGCGCGTTGGATGCCTGCAGTGTACTTTTATTTGTTCATTTATCGAGCTTACTGAACGTCTGCTCTCTTCTGGGGGCAGTTTCGATTCAGTCCAAAGGAGATTTGAGTGGCCAGGGTGCTTTCCGCTCTGCCAGCTGGAGTTCAGGGTCTTATTAGAGAGATTTTTTTTGCCCAAAATTGGCTGTCAGTAAGGATAGCGGCAGTTCAGTCAGTCCACGTAATAATAAGGTTAATGATAGTGATACTTACCATGTACCTACATTCTGTTGTAGTGCCTAATGGTATACCCAGCACTTTCATATACATCTTAATTGATCCTCGCAAAAGCTGTTTGGAGGGCAGAGAGAAGGAAGAGAGAATAACCGATAAGGGAAGACCTCGGCCTTGACTTAACAGTTGATATTGCTGGGAGACTTTCCTCACTATATACTTTTTCTAATAGTCTGTGACGTTGCTTTTTTTTTTTCAAGTTTAAATTTTTATTTTTTTGTTGCTTCTACTGCAAGCGTGAAGAGCATATGAATTCTTAAGGAGCTACTGCCCTTTGTGACTTTTGATTCCCTGGCTTTAAATTATGTTTTTTCTTGTTTCCATGAGTTTTTATTACGTCTGAGGCAAGATTCTACTGTATCTCAGGCATGCTTCTTAAATGGTAGATGTGGGCCTACTTACGTGCAGACGTCTCCTCAGGATTGTCTTTTTGGATAATCAATTGGCAGTCCAGTTGCATGCATAGAGAGATTTAAAAAAATACTTTTTCATAACTGTACCGCTTTTTTATGTTTCTGTGATGTTTGTATTGTCTCCATTTAGCCCAGGGACGCTCAACAACTTCATTGTAGGACTTGAATTAGTTCTCCTGGGGTCCTGCCCCAATGCACTGCTTTCTGTTGTCCCTGATTATGTTACCATTTAAAACCATCGTTTGCTGCAATCTGTTCCTTATTTCTATAGAATGATAAATGACAGTTGTTCTGCTTGATGGTAGAAGAGTGTCTGAGGAGTCTGTGCTGTGAGGCCTGACTTGCTCGTAAGCAGCTACAGAGAAGCCTGGCGGGCGTAGTTAGTTATCTCTTGCGTCCATGAAGCGTACTGATCAAACCATGACCAAACCAGTAAGTACCAAGTCCCAGCACGCACAGTTCTCTCTCACATCTTTCTCACTTGAATACAAATACCCATGTATATTTTTGTCTTTTTAGTTATCATAGTGACAACTTGGCGAGGGGTCGGCAAACTTTGGCCGTCTGTCTGGTTTGTAAATTGGAATATAGCCACACCCATTCGGTGGCCTACTGTCTCTGGCTGCATTAGGGCTTCAGCAGCAGAGTTGAGTAGTTGTAACAGAGACCATATGACCCCCCACTTATGAAAAAGTTTACAAGCCCTTGAGTTAGATAAAGAAAGGTTGTGAAGTTAAAATACGCCTTTGTTCAAATCCTGATCAGATGTGTGCTCGCTTGCTATGTGAGCAGTTAACATTTGTTCTGGATGTGCCAGGCGTCGTGGCAGATCCTGGGGGCTCAGCAGTAATCCAGGTCTGTGTGGTGTCTCCCTTCAAGGAGTTTCTTCACTGAGTTTCCGTTTCTCCATTGGTCAAAACTGAGAGAATAGCGCCTATCTTGTGAGGTTGTTGTCAGTACTAAATGAGAAATCACGTGGAAGTAAGTGGCGTGTAGTGAAATTAAAGCTGTAATATCAAACCACTGCCGCTGAGTCGATTCCGCCTCATAGCGAGCCTGTAG